AACCAAGAAAACAAAATAAAACAATACCACCTCCAAAAAACACATTAATATTTAACAAAATAAAAGAATACCTAAAACTGTGCAACTTTTTTAAAATGACAATTACATGGTATTTACCACATGCTGAGATCTTCTCATAATACAGAGATCTTGTCAGGATCCAAAAAGCTTCTTGCATGAGAAATAACTATAAGTTTACATAGAAATCATTTTACTAGAAGTCCTGACCCTTGATATACATATCTGGCTGCATTATAAATTCATGATATTGTTGCAAAACAGTCACTTACCTTCAGTGAGTCTCAGTATCCTTTTTGGACAAAGAAAGCTAGGTCATGCTTAATGGATTTTAAATATTAATGTTCAGTGCTTTAATATATTTCCTTTCTGCTTGCTTGTAAATTCTGCTCACCTAATTTTTGAACAAGGGAATATCTATTAAAAAACACTGATTAGCAACAATTAGGAATGAGATTTTATTTAAAATATATATAGAGATTAAAATTTTAAACTTAAAGATACATTCTATAAAATACTTTCAAATAAAATTTGACTGTAAAGTTGCTCAACCATGTTCATAGCAGTTTTATTCGTAATAATCAAGATATGGAAAATAACCCAGATGTCCTTAACTGAGGAATGGATACAGAAATTGTGGCACATTTACAAAATGGAATATTACTCAGCAATTAAAAACAAGAAAATCATAAAATTTGCAGGCAAATGGTGGCAACTCAAAAAGATCATCCTGAGTGAGGTATCCCAGAAGCAGAAAGACACACATAGTATATACTCACTTATAAGTGCATATTAGACTTATAATAAAGGATAAACATATGAAAATCTGTACACCTAAAGAAGCTAAACAATAAGGAGGACTCTGGGTAAGAGGCTCAATCCTCATTCAGAAAGTCAAAGGGATAGACATTGGAAGAGGGAGAAAATAGGGAAAAGAACAGAAGCCTTCCACAGAGGACCTCTGAAAGATTCTACCCAGCAGAAGATCAAAGCAATTGCTAAAACTGATAGCCAAAATTTGTGCAGAGTGCAGGGAATCTTATGAAAGATGGGGCAAAAAGTAAAACCTGGAGAAGACAGGAGCTCCACAAGGAGAACAACAGTACCAAAAAAATGTGGGCACAGGGAGCTTTGTGAGACTGATATTCCAACCAAGGACCATGCGTGGAGATAACCTAGAACCCCTGCACAGATGTAGCCCATGGCAGCTCAGTGTCCAAATGTGTTCCCTAGTAAGGGGAACAGGGGCTGTTTCTGACATGGACTCAGTGGCTGGCTCTTTGATCATTCCCCACTGAGGGGGTGGGCAGCCTTAGCAGACCACAGAAGAAGACAATGCAACCAGTCAGGATGAGACCTGATAGACCAGGGTCAGATGGAAGGAGAGTAGTGCCTCCCCTGTCAGTGGACTTAGGAAGGGCATGCTAGGAGAAGAGGGATTGAAGGCAGGCTATGGAGGTAATGATGGAGGGGGCTACAGGTGGGATACAAAGAGAATAAATTGTAATAAATAAAAAAATAAATGTAATATAAAAAACAATTTAAAATTAAGAGTAAAATACATGTTTTTGTCAAATTTGTGTATAAAATAATTACTTCATTAAGTATTTTAGAGATATGAGTATGCTTAATCCTTATAAACATTAGAAACTGAAGAGTTAGAAAGAAAAGGGTAGATTCAGAAACAAATATTACAAGAGAGAATCAGAATTTCGAATTAGCTTACATACTTATCAAATATTGTGGGATTTCTTCTAGGAAATTTGTTCCTTTTCTATGTCCCTGTCACAATTTACCATTTTCATATTTTCCTTTCTGTTGTTCTGGAACTCAATATGTAGCCCAGGTTACCTTGGAACTCACAATTTTGCTTCAGGCTCCTAAATACTATGTATAAATACATCCAACAACATGCCTAGCAATTCACTTCTTCTGTAAATAAACATCTACATTTCCAAAATTTAGTGAAGAATAGACAAAATAAGTTAAGAATGAACCAAGAAAGAAAAATAAAATGAATGTAAAGGAATCCAATAAAAGTATTTAATTTGTTAATGTGTTGTCAGACAATAACTAGTATATGTTATCTTCAGTGATGTCATCATTCCAGTAGTAGCATTGTGTAGCTATTAATACATTAAAACCTTTTAATGAAGTTATGTTACAAATAATTTGTAATGTTTTGTAATGCTTTGTTTACTGTACTAACCAGAAAGATATAGCCACAAAAGTAAGTAATTAATAAAAATATTCCATTTTTAAGGATTTTTTTAAAAATATAGGACAGGAACTCCACAAGAAGAGCAAAAGAACCTAATAATCTAGAAACAGGGCTCTTTTCGGAGACTGATACTCCTACCAAAGAGTATTCATGGATATAACCTGGAAACCCTGCTCAGATGAAGCCCATGGCAGCTCAATATCAAAGAGGGTACCCTAGTAAGGGGAACACAGACTGTCTCTGACATGAGCTCAATGGTTGGCTCTTTGATCACCTCCCCCTGAGGGGGGATCAGATTTTCTGGGCCACAGAAGAGAATGCAGCCAGTCCTGATGAGACCTGAGAAGATAGGGTCAGATGGAAGGGAAGGAGAACCTTCCCTATCAGTGGACTTTGGGAGGAGATGAGGGAGGGAGAGTGGGATTGGGAGGGAATGATGGAGGGGGCTACATTTGGGATACAATGTAAATAAACTGTAATTCATATAAAAAATAAAAAAATTAATAAAAACTTTTACTCCCTTCCAAAATGCAACTACGAACTGTTCATAATTTTAAAATCTTTAAAATAAAGGTTTAGTACAGTAAAAAGAAATTTTCCTTGTACTAACACTGAAAAAGAAAAGGATGAATAATATTATGTAAAAATTTTGTTCGAAAAAGGTTTTTTAAACTCAGGTAATAAAATGAACATGTAAGGTATTTTAGGTGGTATATAATTTCAACCAAATTAGCACTATTACTGTGAATATTTTAGTTCAAATTCATTGTTAAAAATAATTTGTTTTCTTATACATTATTCTGCTTTCTTTACTCTGCATGTAATGTAGGAAAGATTCTGTGGCTTCTGTCTTATTGACGTATATATGACTGAAAGCTTAAGCCATTTTGCTTAAAATCCATTTCGTTTTCTTCTATCTCCCTTGACAGTGCTACAAGTGAATGGTGGAAGAAAGGCTCTAGAAATAGTGCATAGAATATAAATGCCTACACACTATTGAATATTATAAACAATTGTTTTATTTTCTCTAGTAGTTTTAGACAGCTTATACAGCAAAAGTCAACTTTAGTGGAACGAAAGCAATTTCATTATAGTACCGTCTATTTTAAATGAGAATGTTAAATATATTCTCTACTGTTTTCTGAGATAGACACATCACTGTAGTTTGTCTATATCAAAGTGTTCTATACCCTAAAAAGGCATTTCTTATGCCAGAAGATGTAACAATACATATAGGACCCCCCCAAAAAAAAGACCTTCAATAAGCGAGGAAGGGGGCCACAGCAGGCATACAAATTGAATAAATTGTGATAATATATTTTTTTAAATTCATATTGTTGTTTTAATAAATCTAGCTTTAGCAAAAGCTTAGGAAGAACATTTTAGTCTCCTCATCACTTTTCATCAATCTTCTGACCTTTATTTAATCAGTTTTAGAATCCAGTCACTTTGGATCTATTTTTAGTACTTACTGGCATTCTACACATTTTCTGGGCAACTGTACCAGATATATGATACTGAAAGTGCCGTGTTATTTATTATCTTCCAATAAACAATGACATGGTGCTATGCACATGCATGTCAAAAAGGTTAGCATTTACTGCACTGATTGGGATATTTTCCCAAAACAATAAGCAAAATTTGGTGATGATATCTTTTATTTTTTTTTTAAAGCAAGAATATGTCTCCTGATCAACTTCTGATTCTTTGATTTTTTGCTAGAAAGAGTCTTAGTCAAGTTTAACATTTTACTTTTTTACAGGGTTTTGTTTGTTTGTCAGGCTTGAGTTTGCAACTCCAAGCTTATTTTTTAATATAAAGTGAAATACCAGTAATGAATTTAAAATCATTTTGTATTAAAGGAAATTTTAAAGTTCATAAAATACAGGTTCTTGACATTAATTAGGACTGGTAATTTTATGTACCTGAAATCAATGTCATTTATAGTACCAAAATCTAATAAGCCAATTTTTAAAGTGAGTTAAAAACAAAGTAATCAGTAATAACTTCATTGTCATGTGAAAGGGACAATTCTTTTGAAAATTCTACACATTTCTTTTGGGCACACAAACAATTTGCGTAATAAACTACATTTACCCATAGACAGCTTAGTCTCCATGTGGGTCCCCTAGACAGGGGAGAAGAGACAGTCTCTGTCTGACATGAACTCGGTTCCCTGTTCCTTGATCACTTCTCCTTGTTGAGACAGCTTAGTCAGCCCACAGAGGAAGAGGATCCAGGCAGTTCTGATGGGACCTGATAAGCTATGGTCAGGCAGTAAGTAAACAAATCCAAGTTTATTTATTCGGACATTTTTTTCACACTTAAACTGGTTTCTCCTATATTTGGACTAGGGGAGAAGGATAGGGGAGGAAGAGAGAGGGAGGGTGGGACTGGGAAGACAAAAGGGAGGGGACTACAACCAGGACACAAATGGAATAAATTGTAAACAGTAATGATAATAATGAGAATAATAATAATAGAATTTAGTAATGAAAAAACATTTACTACCAAAAGATGCTATGAGTTAAATGTATTAAAGAATTGAATAACTTGCTTGAAGTCACAGTGTTAACTAGGCAAAATTGAAATTCAGAACTGAGATCTTCTGGTATACATTGTTGAGACTATCCTCCTTTTCTGTGGATCCTGGAAACTGGAAATAATTCTCATTACATGGTTTAGCATAACTATAATTTAACCATAATATGGTATTTTATAATAATAAAATTTAAATTTTGTATCATTCTTTGTTTTGCAGGGTCAAAATATTTTTGATCTTGATGTCATTGAAACACCAGAAGGAGACAAGATGCCACAGTTGGTTGTTCAAAAGGAATTAGATAGAGAAGAGAAAGATACCTATGTGATGAAAGTAAAAGTTGAAGATGGTGGCCTTCCTCAAAGATCTAGCACAGCTATTTTGCAAGTAAGTGTTGCTGACACAAATGACAACCGACCAATCTTCATAGAGAAGGAAATTGAAGTCAGTATACCAGAAAATGCTCCTGTAGGTTCTTCAGTGACACAGCTCCATGCCACAGATGCTGACATAGGTGAAAATGCCAGAATCCACTTTTATTTCAGCAATCTAGTCTCCAACATTGCTAAGAGACTGTTTCATCTTAACACTACCACTGGACTTATCACTGTGAAAGAACCACTGGATAGGGAAGAATCACCAAGCCACAAGTTATTGGTCTTGGCAACTGATGGTGGATCAACACCAGCAAGAGCCGTGGTGCTGGTAAATGTTACAGATATCAATGATAATGTCCCATCAATTGATATAAGATACATCATCAATCCAACCAATGGCACTGTGCTTCTTTCAGAGAATGCTTTACTTAACACTAAAATTGCTCTCATAACTGTGATGGATAAGGATTCTGAACATAATGGTAGGGTGACCTGCTTCACAGACCATGAAGTCCCTTTTAGATTAAGGCCAGTATTCAGTAATCAGTTCCTCTTGGAGACTGCTGCATTTCTTGACTTTGAGTCCACAAGAGAATATGCCATCAAATTATTGGCTGCTGATTCTGGCAAACCTCCTCTGAATCAGTCAGCCATGCTTCTGATTAAAGTAAAAGATGAAAATGACAATGCTCCAGTTTTCACCCAGTCTTTTATAAGTCTTTCTGTTCTAGAAAATAACTCTCCTGGTGCACAGTTGACAAAAATCAGTGCAACAGATGCAGATAGTGGACACAATGCTGAAATAAGCTACCTGCTAGGTTTTGATGCACCGCCTGAATTCAGCCTGGATCGTCATACTGGCATCCTGACTGCTGTGAGAAAACTAGATAGAGAAAAACAAGAAAAATATTACTTCACAGTGCTGGCACAGGACAATGGTATTCCACCCTTAATGTCTAATGCTACTGTCTTCGTGACCGTTCTTGACCAGAATGATAACAGCCCAATTTTCACTCACAATGAGTACAACTTCTATGTCCCTGAAAACCTTCCAAGACATGGCACAGTTGGGCTAATAACTGTGACTGATCCTGATTATGGAGAGAATTCTGCAGTTACTCTCTCCATCTTAGATGTGAATGATCAGTTCACTATTGATCCACAGACTGGTGTGATCAAGCCAAATATTTCATTTGACAGAGAAAAACAAGAGTCGTACACTTTCTATGTAAAGGCTGAGGATGGTGGTAGGGTATCACGTTCTTCAACGGCTAAAGTAACGATAAATGTGGTTGATGTCAATGATAACAAACCAGTTTTCATTGACCCTCCTTCCAATTACTCCTTTGAATGGGTTTTGCCTTCTACAAATCCAGGTACAGTTGTCTTCAAGGTTGTTGCCATTGATAATGACACCGGAATGAATGCAGAGTTGCGTTATAGCATTATTGGAGGAAACCTAAAAGGACTCTTTATGATTGAACAAATATCAGGCAACATCACATTGAAAGAGAAATGTGTTGTTTCAGATCTTGGTTTACACCAAGTGATAGTCAAAGCTAAGGATTTAGGACAACCTGATTCTCTCTTCAGTGTTGTAAATGTCAACCTGTTTGTGAATGAGTCAGTGCCCAATGATACAATGGTTTATGAACTGGTGCGCAAAAGCATTGACTCGCCTGCAACCCAAAATACCGAAACAACTAATGCAACCTTACCAACCTCTGACTATGTCAAGATCATGGTTGCCATTGTTGCTGGCACCATAACTGTAGTCCTAGTGATTTTAATAACTGCTGTAGTAAGATGCCGCCAATCACCACACCTTAAGGCTTCTCAGAAAAACAAACAGAATTCTGAGTGGGTTACTCCAAACCCAGAAAACAGGCAGATGATTATGATGAAGAAGAAAAAGAAGAAAAAGAAAAAGCATGCCCCCAAGAACCTGCTGCTCAATTTTGTTACTATTGAAGAAGCAAAGCCAGATGATGCTGAAAATGATAGAAATAGTGTCACACTAGACCTTCCCATTGAGCTGGAAGAGCAAACCGTGGGCAAGTACAACTGGGGCACTACACCTTCTACCTTTAAGCCTGATAGCCCTGATTTGGCTAGACACTACAAATCTGCTTCTCCTCAGCCTGCCTTCCAGATCCAGCCTGAAACACCCCTGAACTCGAAGCACCACATCATTCAGGAACTGCCTCTTGATAATACTTTCGTAGGCTGTGATTCCATCTCAAAGTGCTCCTCCAGCAGTTCTGATCCTTATAGTGTTTCTGAGTGCAGCTATCCAGTGACAACTTTCAAGACCCCTGTGTGTGTACATACCCGACAGGTAGGTAATCCAATTTTTTTAAGTAATCCTTCTAATTTATTATTCTCATTATTATCACTTGATATAAGATTATAAAGAGCATTGACTTCTAAAAAGGATCAAAATGATCATATTGCACAGAACTTTCAAACAGGAATATGAATTCATTTAAATTTGGTAAACAGTGCAAAATGAGTGCTAAGTTAGAAAAAAAATTCTTACAGACTGATTCTTATAATAAGGACAATTTTGTCTGTTGATGGTAGTGTGATGCTTTTTGCTACAGTGCATACTGGAAAACTGTATAGTAAAGATTATAGGACTAACCACTTTACCATCTTATTCATAAGAATCAGAAACACCTGGGCTGCTTGCCTCATAGGAAACCTTTTTCAAAAGTCATAAGCATCTCTGAGTATAAATGGTTTTGTGAATCCTAGCTTCATGTGAGCAAATCTTTAGATGGCCAAGATAATTAACTTATACTAACATATCCACTACATCTTTCTTATGATATCATGTCACCTGCTCTCAACAATGAAGAGACTCACTTTCATATCATAAAGTCAAAATAATATTGGTTTCTCAAACTTGCATTCTCTTGGTAAAATGCTAAAACAGTTTAAGAAAATGAAGGCATGGTCATTCTGATCTTCCAGGTAGATGAAGAAATAGGAAAACATCTTCATTTTAGGTTACAAAGAATATTTACACTCTTCAAGGTTCTTCAGAAAACATTCTTAAAAGATAATGACTTTTAGAAAATGGAATGTTAGCTTTTTCTAATAGGCATAAAGGAAAATAAGAGCATATTTAGAAATAAGAAATCTCTGTACAATAACATAAAACCCAATAATTTCTGATAACTACGGTACCGTAGAAATTAGTATTCCAAGGAAAAATGAGTACAAATTTATCTAGAACTTCAAAGCTACATTAACTCTTTTAAGTAAGATATTTCCTTAATAAGATTAAATTATGGAATTTATCTACATTTTCCCCTTAAATGTCAGTTTACCTGTTGATTTTATTATTTCAGCAATGTAGTGAATTATTAACCTCATTTACAGTGAATAAACCTGTTTTATTAAGTTATTTGCACTTAATGTAAAGGTTATGAAATGAAAGTTAGATGTATTCCTTTTCAATGAAAGTTAGAGATGCTAAAAGCAGTCTACCAGATACAAGAAAATGTTGCAAATAAGTAATGATAATATTAGGAACAGTTTATTATTATTATCATATATTAAAATTTATTAAATTTGTATCCTGGCTGTGGCCCCCACCATCGTCTCCTCCAAATCCCACCCTCCCTTCCTGTTCTTCCCCTATGCCCCTACCACTCTCCCTCCCTCTTTTTCCCCTATGCCCTTCTCCTAGTCTACAGATAGGGGAGATAATCTTTCCTTTCTATCTGATCCTAGCCTGTCAAGTTTCAACAGCATCGGTTGCATTGTCTTCTCTGTGGCCTGGCAAGGGAGCACTCACTAGGAGGAGGTTATCAGGGAGCCTTCCACATTGTTCATGCCAGAGAAATCCCCTATAACCCTTACTAGGACACCCACTTGGATGCTCAGTCTATGGGCTACAGCTGAGCCTGGGTTTTAAGTGCTTTGCACGCATTGTCCTTGGTTGGGGTATCTTTTCATTCAGGGCACCCAGGGCTAAGATTTCTGGGGTTTCTATTGATCACGTTTGAAGCTCCTGTCCCTTCCAGGTCTTTCTATCTACCCCTTTTTTCATAAAATTCCATGCATTCTGCCCTAAGTTTGGCTATGAGTGTCACACTCTGCTTCTATATCTAGATCAATAGAGTCTTTCAGAGGCCTACTGTGATAGGCTCCTGTCCTGTTCCATGCTTCAGATTCTATAGGGTTTGCTCTTGTTTAGCTTCTTTAGGAGTATAGTATGTTTATCCTATATTATATGTGTAATAACCACTAATGAGTGAGTATATACCATGGGTAACTTTCTGTTTCTGGGTTACCTCACTCAGTATGATCTTTTCTAGCTTACACCAATTGCTTGAAAATTGCATGATTTCCTTCTTTTAAATAGCTGAGTAGTCTTTCATTAGATAAATGTACCATAGTTTATGTATCCATTCCTTTGTTGAAAGATATCTAGGTTGTTTGAAGCTTCTGGCTATTAGAAATAGAGTTGTACAAACATGGTTGGGTAAATGTCCTTGTTGTGCAGTTGAACATAATTTGAATATATGTCTAGGAGTTGAATAGCTGGAACTTGAGGTAGAATCATTCATAATTTTCTGAGAAAGTGTCAGACTGATTTCCAAAGTGGTTGTATATGTTTACATTCCCACCAGCAATGGAGGAAGGGTCCCTTGTATCCATATCCTCTCCAGCATGTGTTGTCTCTTGAATTTTTGATCTTAGCCTTTCTGAAGTGTGTTAGGTGAAATTGCAGGGTTGTTTTGAAATTGATTCTCCCTAATGACTAAGGATGTTAAACATTTCTTTAAGTGTTTCTCTGCAATTCGATATTCCTCTATTGAGAATTTTCTGATTACCTCTGTATACCAGTTTTTAATTGGATTACTTGTTTGTTGGTCTTTAACTTCTTGAATTCTTTATATATTCTGGATATTACCCTTCGGTCAGATATGGGGTTGATGAGGATCCTTTCTCAATCTCTTTGCTGTCGTTTTGTTCTGATGACAGTGTCCTTTGCTTTACAGAATCGTTTCAGTTTCATGAGGTCCCGTTTATTGATGTTTGATCTTAGAGCCTGTGCTATTGGTGTTGTATTCATGATGCTGTCTCCTGAGCCAATGAGGTCAAAGCTCTTCCTCATTTTTTCTTCTAACAGATTTAGTGTGTCTGGTTTTATGTTGAGGTCTTTGATCCACTGAGACTTTAGTTTTGTGCAGAGTGATCAATATGGGTTTATTTGCATTTTTCTATATGGAGACAACCAGTTGGATCAGCAAAGTTTTTTGAAGATGCTATCTTTATTTTTCCATTGTATGCTTTTGACTTCTTTGTTAAAAATCAAATATACTTAGAGTATGTAGTTTATTCCTAGGTCTTCATTTAGCTACTTGAAGGCACTTAGTGCTATGAACTTTCTTCTAAGTACTGCTTTCCTTGTGTCCCATAAGGTTGGGTATGTTGTGCCTCTGTTTTCTTTTTTTTTTTAATTTTTTTCTTATCAGTTACATTTTATTAACTCTGTATCCCAGCCGTATACCGCTCCCTCATTCCCACCCAATCCCACCCTCCCTCCCTCATCTCCACCCTGCCCCTTTCCAAGTCCACTGATGGAGGGGACCTCCTCCCCATTCATCCAATCCTGTTTTATCAGGTATCTTCAGGACTGGCTGCAAGCCCTCCTCTGTGGCCTAACAGGACTGCTCCTCCCTTGGGGGGTGGGGAGGCCAAAGAGCCAGTCATTGAGTTCCTGTTAGAAATAGTCCTTGTTCCCCTCACTATGGGAAACCAATTGGTTACTGAGCTACCACAGGCTACATCTCAGCAGAGGTTCTAGGTTATATTCATACATGGTCCTTGGTTGAATGACAGTCTCTGAGAAGACCCTGTTCCCAGATATATTTGGTCCTTATGGAGCTCCTATCCTTTCCCCATCAGACTAACTCCCCTTCTTTCTTATGATTCCCTGTACTCTGCCAAAGGTTTGGTCATGAGTCTTTGTATCTGCTTTGAAAACACTGCTAGGTAGAGTCTTTCAGATGTGCTCAGTAGACTCCTGTCATACGTTCAATGTACATCCCATCTGTCTTTCTAAACGAGGATTGATCATCTTACCCCATGTCTGCTCTCTTGATTATCTTTTTTAGGTGTATAGATTTCATTATGTTTATCATATCTTATAGGTCTATATAAGTGAGCATATACCATGTTTGTCTTTCTCCTTCTGGGATATTTCACTCAGAATTATCTTTTTCTAGATCCCACCATTTGCCTGCAAATTTCATGATTTCCTCTTTTTTGATTGCTGAGTAGTATTCCATTGTGTAAAAATACCACAATTTCTGTACCCATTCCTCTGTGTGGACATCTGGGTTGTTTCCAGGTTCTGGCTATTACAAATAAAGCTGCTACAAACATGGTTGAGCAAGTATCCCTTTTGTGTACTTGAGCAACGTTTGGGTATATACCTAGCAGTGGTAAAGCTGGGTCTTGAGGAAGCACTACTCCTAGTTGTCTTAGAAAGCACTAGATAGATTTCCAGAGTGGTTGTACCAGTTTACATTGAAACCTAGGAGTCTTTAACTTCTTTCTTTCTTTCTTCCCTAACCCAGTTGTCATTGAGTAGTGAGTTTTTCAGTTTCCATGTAGGTGTAGTCTTTTTGCTATTACTGTTTTGTTGAGGTTCAGCTTTAGTCCATTATGGTCAGATAGGATACAAGGGATTACTTCAGTCTTCATGTATCTTCTGAGGCTTGCTTTGTGACCAACTATATGGTCTGTTTTGGAGAAGGTCCCATGAAGTACTGAAAAGAAGGTATACTCTTTTGAGTTTGGGTGAAAGGTTCTGTAGACATCTATTAGGTCCATTTGATTTGGAACTCCATAAGTGCCATTATTTCCCTATTTAGCCTAGATTATCTGTCCCCTGGAGACAATGGAGTGTTGAAGTCTCTCACTATGAAGGTATTGGGACATATTTCTGATTTGAGCTTTAATAATGTTTCATATACAAATAATGGGGCTCCTGTGTTTGGAGCGAAAATATTCAGGATTGTAATGTCCTCATGATGGATTTTACTTTGATGAGAATGAAATGTCCTTCTTCATCTTTTTTGATTATTTTGGTTGAAAGTCTGTTTTCTTAGATATTAGGATAATTGTTCCAGCTTGTTTTCTGGGCCCCTTTTCTTGAAAAACTATTTTATAGCCCTTTATATGAGGTAGTGTGTGTCTTTGTCGTAGAGGAGTGTTTCTTGGATGCAACAGAAGGTTGGATCTTATTTCATCAACCCTTCTGTCATTTTGTGGTTTTTATTGAAGAGTTGAGTCCATTGATGTTGATAGAAAATA